CCTCTACCTTTGTCGAAACACTTTCCTTTGCCTTTGGTCTCTTTTGCTGAATGTGCCTGCAAGGCCACATCACTCATCAATTTTCCTGCAGCTCTTTTGTTCATTCTTTGTTCATGAGATTCAAGCGTCCCTTGAAGCTATTTCTTTTTCAATTTCGACAAGTATTTCCCCTCTTCTATCGCCATCACTATGTGGTCAAACTTAGGAGCTAAAGATCTCAAGATCTTCGACACAACAGCTCTTGTTGTTAACGCTTCTCCACATATCTTGATTTGATTTGCTAGTTTTTTAACTCTAGTGAAGAAATCAAATATGCTTTCACTGTCTTCCATCTGAAGCAGTTCATAGGTCCTTTTGTGAGTTTGTAACCTCACTTCTTTCACTTTCTCAGCGCCTCCAAAAGACTTCTCAAGGATTTTCCAAGCTTCTTTTGCAGATTCTGAATCACTAACCTTTTCGAAATTGTCTGGGCTGACACATTGATGAATTATAAATAATGCTTTATAATTCAGCTTCTCAGATTCTATGTATTTATTCTTTTCTTCTTCTGAAGCGTTTTCTCCTAGCGCTTCGACTCCATCTTTTACAAGGTCCCAAAGACCTTGACACCTGAATAAGACTTTCATCTGTTTGCACCAATTCTCATAGTTGTCAACTTTCAGAATTGGTAAGGTTGCTGGATAATTTGCATTCTCATAACTTGTCATCGTGAATTCTTCAATCGTTCTTGATTGACACTTCCCTTGAATCGAAACAAAGCTCTTGATACCAGATGTTGGAAATCCACCAAATTCTATGATGAATTTCTATCACAATGACAATTTAATTATGAGACAAACAAAGAAAAGAAGACAAGACAAATAATTTATGCAGAGTTTCTCTCTGCTCACAAACCGTGAAAACTTTCTTATTCACTTTACAACTGTAAAATACTGTGAATGACTTGCTTGACTTGCTTACAAAAATAGGGGTTACTCCCTCTATTTATAACTGAGCTTACACCCTAAGGCCAAATCCCAAAATATCTTTTTGTTACTAAATCAAATCTAATTTATTCTAGACTTAAATCAAATCTATTTAAATCTAAAACAAATCAAATCTTTTCGACACATAGTTTCGACACACTGGATTACAATTTAACACAGATAAGAGATTTTACAGAATTGCCAAATTTATTCATAAGACTTCTTCAATTACAAATAAGAGATTTTACAGAATCGTTATATTTATTCATAAGACTTCTTAAATTATAATTTTTTAAAGATATTTTTCATTTTATATCTTATTGCTTCTCTATAAATATTATGGTAAATAAAATGAAAAACTTTGTTTATAATACTTTTTCAATGTTTTTATTGTTCTATGCTAATTACTATTTTTTGTGTGCAGATAAAAGATTTTACAGAACCTCCAAAATTGTTCATGAGATTTATATATATATATATATATATATATATATATATATATATATATATATATATATATATATATATATATATATATATATATATATATATATATATATATATATATATATATATATATATATATATATATATATATATATATATATATATATATATATATATATATATATATATATATATATATATATATATATATATATATATATATATATATATATATATATATATATTAAAAATATTATTCATCTTATATCTTATTGTTTCTATTTAAATATTAAGGTAAACAAAAAGAGCATATTTGTTAATAATACTTCTTCAATATTTCTCAATGTTTAATTTCATTTCTTAGTTATTGTTTTTTTGTATGAAGATAAGCAATTTTTGAAAAATGATGAAAAAGAGAGTGTTCAAATCAATATTACAGTGTCCTATCTTTATTTTTTTTATTCCTATTTTTTCTATTCCAAATTTTATTAGGATTTATTAATTTGTACTTATATGCAAAATTTGAAGCTATGTTCTATTACACAATATTCCTTCCATCCTAAAATATAAGAGAAAAAAGTATATTTTAGTTATTCTCACTAGTGCAGGAAATACATTTTACATCGGACGAAAAGTACGTTTTATATCGAATTTTGATCCGATGTAAATTCAAACGATGTAATAAATCAAAGAAATTTTACATCGGGCTACAACCCGATGTAAAAAATCCACCTACTAAATCGGTTAGATATTAGATCTGATATAAAAATAATAATAATAATTACAAAAAAAAGGAATGCAACCTTTTACATCGGTTTCTCTGCTTGACCGATGTAATAAATTGTTTTTTACATTGGTTTTGAACAATATGCCCTGTGTAATATGTTTATTTAATATGTCATATTTAACTAAATCAGGTGCATTCTCAAAATTTATTTATTTGTATATAATTTTTCATATTTTTCCAACATTACAAGACCATATTTAGGTAACTTTTTTTTCATATTTTCACCACATAACACTGATCATATTTAGGTCGCTAATTTCATATTTTTCTAACCAATAAAAGGTAATTTCATTGCATCAAATGGTTAGGATGCTCATATATATTCTTCAAAACGAATCATTAGTTATAAAAGTACTAATCTAGGTTAAACAAGTGTACAAAATTATAAGGAAGTTTACAAAAGGTGGATTACTACAACAACAAAATCAATGAAATTATACAAAATATTCACACTTGAAATACCAACATGCAATCCACAAGAAGATGAGTTGTAAATTCAGTAGACAACACCAAAATCACATCTGCTAACAATAAATAATAACACTAATTAACATCAACAAACAACACAAAAATCAAAAAACTCAAATCAAATATGTATAGACAATTCTATATAACTCACCAGTTCAAGCTTGATTTTTATATATCTCAAAGAAACATTTTTCCCAACGGAGTCGCAAATCATATAAATTATCTTGTGTTAATTCTATTGGGTCATCAAATACCTACAATGCGTAAATAAAAATATAGAGTTATTCTTTGAAAATTCACATTAAGTTGCAAAACACAAAGTAACTATAAAAGTAAAGTTTTTTTTATTACATGCATCTAAGAATCAGTTATATTGGCAGAGACAATATTCAACATATTTTTCATCACATAGTATCCACAATCATTAAAGTTATATTGTCGCCTTGTCTAGATAAACGAATGACATAATTAGTGAATACTTATCATAAAATTAAATATAGTATTGTAATATACATCACACTTACATTATAATGAAGCCATGTAGCTTTTTTTCTATTTCCATTTGCCATTTGATGAATCCCAAAAGCACTAATTCAGAAGAAAAAAATCCATAACACTCTTAAATTATCAATCACTGGACTTAGATACATGTCTATGTCATTTCCTGGTTGCTTTGGGCCCAAAATCATCATCGATAGCATAATATATTTACGCTTCATGCACAACCTAGGAGATAGGTTGTAAATCATCAAGAGAACATGCCAAGAAGTATGGCTAGTACTTAGATTATCAAATTGATTCATTTCATCAGTAGCAAGTCCAAGTCTAAAGTTTCTCGACTCTTTGCCAAAGCTTGGAAACAAAGAATCTATTTTCTTCCATTGCAAAGAATCAACTACATGGCGAATTTGTCCATCACAATTTATTTCTTCTGCATGTCATCTAAGATTTTTTGCATCGTTTACATTAGTGAATAGTCTCTTGAACCTTGAAATTACTGGTAGGTACCATACCACTTTCGCGAAGGACCCTTTTTGACCACCCCATCTTTACTAGAATCACCATCTTTCTTTTTGTAGCGTGACACCTTGCACTTCAGACAATGATTATAATTTACATACTCTTTTCGATATAATATGCAGTCATTAGGGTATGCATGTATCTTTTCATACTCCAAACCCATCGGACATAATATTCTTCGCCTCGTAATAACAAATTGGCATTACATTACATTCTGGAAGCATTTCTGTCAATAATTCAAGCAAACCGGTAAAATTTTTGTCAATTCACCCGTTATTCGCCTTCAGATTAAACAATTTTAACACGGCTGATAAACGTGTAAAATTTGTGCATCCCGGGTACAAAGGTTTTTCCTTGTCACTGCATAAAGTATCATACGCATGTGCCCTCTTAAACTAATCTTGTATAATATCACGCAACATGTCTTCCAAACGATCATCCACATCGACACTAATATCATCTCTTTGGGACACGTTTGAATTAGATACTACTTCACCGTTCCATATCCATTGTGTATAACTTTGACAGATTCCTACACAGATTAGATGATCCATGATTTCTTTCTTACTAAGTTTTGGTTCTTTATTTGTACAACGAATACATGGACAAAGAAAAAGCGCATGAAGACTTTTTTCAGCATTACTTTCAGCAAACCGTAGAAATTCCTCCACTCCTTGTTCGTACTCAACACTTAATCGATTAGCTCTCATCCAACTACGATTCATACCTCTGTTTCAAAATTAATGAATACATAGTTAAATCATTAAAAAAATTATTTCTATTATACTTTTTTAATAATTGTTTTTTTAACATTCTTTACTTGTTAGATCACTCCACAATAACTTAATATAGGAAACTCCGTCACAAATAATATAAAATTAGAATACGTCATACTTAACTGTCCTTGAATTTTTCTAGTTTGGGTAGAAATATACATTTATAGGAAGTTCGACGGGAGAGTAGCACTACTACAAGAATCTATAAGGGATTCTTTTAAACATAAAAATTATAACATAATGTGATGTCGTGGGATTGAAACTTGATTGGTGGTTAGCATGCAAGATTAAATAAAACTAACCACCAAACCACCGTTAAAACATGTTCTAAAATAATCGAAATACATGTTTAAATATTAAACAAACTGTCCCACTCACAAATGCGGTTAACAAAACCGTTTTAATTTATTCTAATTTAAATCCACTAGTAACAATAAATCTGGATAAAATGTATTTTGTTCTAACAACAACAAATGTAATTTGTTCTAAAATTTATTTAGATAAAATATAATATAAATCTGGATAACAGTAACAATAATGATAAATCTAATCTGTCGGAAATGGAGGGACGTCGGAGCCAGCCCGAAACGGAAGAACACAACAGAGGGAGATGGAGGGACGTCGGAGACGGCCGAAAATGGATCGAGGATTGTTGATTTCTTATCTCATGGTTATGGAGGAAGGGAGACAGAGTCGACGACGGAGAGAGGAAGACAGAGGTACGTCGACGACGGAGGAAGGGTTTCGTGTGAGACGGTTTCAGAGGGAGCTGCTCGAGAGAGTGATAGGGTGTGTTATGAACAACTGACTAGCATTATTAGGGTTTTGTTAACAAAATTGGATTTTTACATTGGTTGGATTAAAAGATCCAATGTAAGGGTCATTCTTTTACATTAGTCGGGATTTAGCTCGATGTAAGAGCCACTTTTTTTTTATAATAAAAACATAACTTATTTACAAAACTGCCACCGTGTTTATCATTGGATTTTTTACATCGGGGGTTAGTAAAGGCCCGATGTAAAATCCCTTATAAAAGTTTTCATTTTATTTTCAAAACTGCCGCCTTGTATTATTTTCTTCTAAATCATGTATTTTTTATATCAGCCGAAATAAAAGTCTGATATAAAATCTTTTGACAAATATTTTTTTACATCATTTATTTTTATACCTGATGTAAGGGGTCTTTTCTCGAATGTCATAATTTTAGTAGTGCCCAAAATATAAGAGAAAAAAAATAAACTTTCATTCTTTTAAAATCAAATGTAAATTGCATTTAATTTATATTCTCTCTCATGTTTTCTATAAGCAACAATCAATTAAAATTATTTTTACATCTTCCTATACATAATTTTCAATAAAAACCTCAAGTCAAATTATTATATTTTTACTTTTCTTAATTAATGTTGTTTCATATTTTTCTCTCTTATATTTTGAGACGGAGAGAGTAATTTTTATAAAAAGATTGATCTTTCAATTTGTCTTCATTTGACATTGAGATAATATCTAATTTAAATGATCATGTTTGATGCTTGGCAACATACTATAATAAAACAATATCAAGAATTAGTAGAATAACATTTATTAGTTAATTTCTATAATTTTGTGCCACTTCATTCCACTAACTTCATTATCCAAGAATATGTGATAATAGCTATAATAATAATAATTATTAACAAAAAAAAATCCTAACGCAGTTTGTAATATTAGTTTAATTTCTAATTAATAAAAAGATTTAAATTTATTGCCATGGTAGTTAGTACTCCATCTTTCAAATTTAATCAAATTAAATAGTATTATTCTTAATATTAATTTTATCAACCATTATAAATCTCTCAATAATATTTTATAAATGTCACTATTAATTTGTGTTTGGTTTAATAAAAAGAGTAAAAAAATATAAAAACATCACTTATCAAATATGGATTAAATTTTTATAATGTTTAAAGTTTAAAGTTAAAAAAGAAAGAGTTGTTATTTTAAATTATTTAATTATTATTTTAAACTCTATTCTTACAAGATTAATTTATTTATAAAAAAATAATTTATAAATTAATTTTGTCCCGGCACTATTTGTTTACACGTTACAAATTGTATTTTTTTATTATGATGAAAATAAATATTATTATTTTTTCATAAGATGGGAACTATTAAATTCGAATACTGAACCTAATTAATTTTCTTCTATTTTAAATTTACATTTATATATCGTTTATTTTTATAATATTTCAATTTTAAAATTATTATGTCAATATTAAATATTTATAATAATATATCCAAATAGTTAGATTAAATTGTAATAATCATAAATAAATATTTTATATAATTTCCCGTGCATCACTCGGATGTACGTCTAGTTATATTTATTTTTTATTATTTATACTTTTGTTTAGTTTTTGTTTAGTTATCTATATAAACTATAGGAAGAATGTACAACATAAGTTACACGAACAAGTAAGTGAGTGGATTGAAATATTAAACGAATCATATTTTAGGGGGGGTAAAGAGGCTTTGACTAAATCATCGTTACAAATTTACGATGGGTAGTGAAGAATTTACTTTTTAATATTTATTATTAAGTTTTGTTTTTATAATCAGAACAAAAGATAGACTAATTGCTATTTTTAAAAACTCATTCACAGGAATGTTGGTGAGTTTATTACAAAAAAAAAAAAGAAGAATGAGTTTAAAGTACAAAATATGAACTATTCAATTCAAGGTCAATGGAAATATGAAATAAAAAATATTCAATTTCTATTTATACATCCGTTTTATAATGTTTTTATACTTAAATTTAATAAAATCATCCAATAACTGTCTACAATTAATTATATCTTATAATTTGATTGGATATGTATACACGTTTACACGACTAATGAATATGAATTAATATCTAAAAATATTCTCAGTCAACACATATAACTTAAAACTAAAATGCAAATACTATATAGAAAGCTTTGATATGACTTTGAGTTATAAAAATATAACTGCATCTATTAAATCAACGGTATCATGTCACCATGCACATGCAAAGACTTGGTTTACGCGGTTGCAAGTAATTAAAAACCAAGTGTCAATTCAATTAAACTTAAAAATAGCTTGAAAGTCAAGGAACCGTGGCATGTAATGAGTTCATTGTGAATTACCTAGGAAAAATAATGGTTTCAAAGAAATGTCCATTAATTCTTGTTGATTTGACCGTGATCAGAACTTATAAGAGGTTGATATCTTCGTCTATAAAACTGATAATAAGTAAGAGGGGATGTACCTGTAAAGTATCCCTATAGTCAAATAAGAAAGAGTATAAAGAGATACAAGATAGAAAGTTTAGGGTTGTAGAAGTGAGTAATGAATATTGAGTACCCGATCCTCACAAGTGTGAGGATTTTAATAGTGTCCCTGTACTTGACCATTAGTTCTTATTTCTGGATCTGGATATCAAATTCCTCAAAAGTAAGTAACTGATAGGAACTAACCATTGTAACATATAGAGATGTTTGGAACTAGTCATTATAGTGAGTAGAGACGTGTTTCACGGACATGCATGATATCTGATCGTTTCTGAGTGGCTGTCTTCGTGTGGCTTTGCAGGAAGAGTACTAGTCTGTTTGAGAGGGCAGAAGTGACCTTGCAGATTCTGGGGGTCAACTAACCAGTATTTTTTGAGTGAAGGGCAGAAGAAAAAAGTATCTCTTATCCATCATAATTTATTGGATTTAGGTTATTGAACTGTCCTAAATATATAAGTGGATTGGATCCTACTTAGTTATTGGGCCAGTCTAAAACACTTATAATTCACTTTTTCTGTATGTTGAATTATTGGGCCAGTCTAAAACACTTATAATTCACTTTTTCTGTATGTTAAATTTTTCATCCATGGAAGGAACATAAATGATGGTTCTCAACTACATTCATGTAAGTAAATCTCATTCACCGTAATATCATATACAGTGTTATATAAAAAATGCTTATATAATTTATTTATATTTTGTATAATATTTGGTTATTTGTATAGTTTTAGATGAAAAGTGTGTGCATAACGGAGTTCTTGTAGAATCAAAACGGAAATCTCCATGTAGGAGGGGAAGAAGTGATCAAGTGAGAGAGGCTAGAGATAATCCACGTTGCCATCATTATCTATGAATGAGATGGGTGTGTTCGGTTGTGTAATTATTTGTAAATTTGAAGTTGGAGAAAAATAAAAATAAAGAATTATTTGTTTAGTTTGATTTATGTCTATGCAAATTAAAATAATAACATTTATGTAGTTTTTTTTTACAATGCATTTTAATATAGAAGGTTATAGAATAGTAAGAGAATTTATTTTTTAAAAATAAACTACAAAACATGTTCATAATAAAAAGATTGATTGTTATCATGAATTTTTTTTTACAATATCCAAGTATTAAAATAATATTTTACAAATAACCGTGTTTCGGAAAAAATTACGCAAATAATCATATTTCGGATGACTCCCCAAAGAAGGAGCCATTTCACTTGGCGCCTCCACCCATATATTTGCCCTAGGCGCCATCTCACTTGGCGCCTCCATTCACTTTTAGCCAAGTGAGATGGCGCATGCTCCTTAAAAGTGAGAGGATGTGTCATCTCACTTGGCTCCTAGGGCAAAACTAGGGCAAAATGCTGTTTTATAAATAATTCGTCCGTTTCTCTGAAATTTCTCACACTTTCTCGCACTGTATTTTTATTTTTTACTCTGTTATTTGCGTCATGACGTCGCCCATGATTTTTAACAGAGATGGTTACGTTATCTTCTCTGCCACGAAACCTGCGATGAAAATGAAATTCTGGCACATTCACTCCATGGAGCGTCTGAAGCGGGAGTTGATGCGATGGCTAGATGGAGACATTGCGGAGGGGGAAAAAATTCGAAGGATCCAGCGAAAACGAACAACAACCTCACATGCGACAGGAAGACCTAATGTATGGTTAGAGGAAGTCAAAACAGACAGCGATGTAATGTTGATGATGCATGGGTCAGCTGAAATTGTGTTAACAGTTGTAATTTTGTAGACGGAATATCATTAATTTTTCTTGTACGCGCAATATTTATTGTAGCAAAATCTGTTAACGGAAAACCCTAATGTTTACAACATAATTAAGGAAAGATTTTATGTATTACAATTTTTATGTGGTCGAGGCAGACGCCCGATTCAGACAATTTTTGCGATTATGTCTGACCTGACGGCATAAATCACACTTTCTTTCCAACTTGTCAAGATCGTCCATTTCTGTTGTGATGCGCTTACTTTTGGAACGACCCTTCTCGTTCCTTCGCATTTGGTCATTGGTCCACACTATTTCACCGTCGTATGCAAGCCAATAATCTGGTTTTGCTACCAAAGGAAAGTTGTTGTTGTAAACGTTGAGCAACGTTTCAGATTTGTAAATGTTTGACAGAAGTTGCAACGCGTCTTGATGGGTATGAGCACAACCGGCAATGACATGAGAGCAAGGCATACAAAATGCTTGAAACCTGCCACAATCGCACCAACGAGAAGGTAGCATGACCCTATATTCTTGTCTTGGCAGGCCTTTGTTGTGGTTGATTGTCTCTTTCACAATGAAGTTGTGGTTGTGTCGGTCAAACCGTATAACCATATGAGTGTTGGCTTTATCACTTTCCCTTAATGTATTTCATGCAGCTTTCACTCCATAGTTGTCCAGATTGCAACACCGCATTCCACATTTCACCTCTTTTGGCAAATAACGCAGTCATCCTAAAATACGTAGATTTTACCAAAGCAGTGATCGGGAGGTTTCGTATGCCTTTGAATACCCCATTCATTGATTCAATAAGATTCGTTGTCACATGCCCCCATCTTTGGCCATTGTCGTATGACCTAGTCCATTTTTCCACCGGAATATTGTCGATCCACCTACCGGCTTCTGGATTTGACAAACAGATCTCGTTGCGGTAATATTTGAATGTGGGTTGTGTCAATGCATATCCCGCATTCATAACCGCTTTCCTTAATGTTTTGTCCTTGATCTCCCTCGTGAAATTCTGGACGATATGCCTAACGCAATAGAAATGCGTAGAAGGAGGGTCATGCCAACCGTTTGCAGGATTATTGTAGGCACTTTCAATGGAGGCATGTCTGTCCAAGATCAAACAGAGATCTGCTTGAGGAGCCACGTGTGTCTGCAGATTTTTCAGAAAAAAGCTCCAAGCACCACCGGTCTCCCCCTCGACGAGGGCAAAGGCAATGGGGAAAATGTTGTTGTTGCCATCTTGTGCAACTGCCATCAGTAGCGTGCCTTTGTACTTCCCATACAACCAAGTCCCATCAATTTGTATAATTGGTTTGCATGATGCAAACCCTGTGATGCAAGGTTGAAATGCCCAAAATACTCGACTGAATATTCCGTTGCCGTTTAGTAGACTACCATCTTGGGCGTATGCTGGCACTGTTTCCAGAACGTAAACAGTACCCAGAGAATACGTCTTGAGTGCATTCAGGTAGCGAGGAAGTTCTTGGTATGACTCCTCCCAGTTTCCGTACACCTTTTCAATCACCTTAGTCTTTGCTAACCACACCTTACGATAAGACGGAGTGTAGTTAAAAACCGTGGTGATGTGGGAGATGATTATTTTCACCTTCAAAGATGGGTCGTTGCTGACCAGGGGTAGGATTTCTTGACAGATGAGATCGTAGTTAAGTTTTCGGTGGTCCTGTGATGGGTAGAACTTACACAAGTGTGGGTAGTCATGGAACCTATGACCCAGCAGTCACCTCTTAATCTGTATGATGCAGTCAGCTTTAACATACAGTCAGGGTGGACACACTTGATCTTGTACCTTTTCGGGTTGACACGGTCCACCTTAAAATCAACCGAGTTGAGCATGTGGAATTTTTTTATGGCTCTGATGCATTCCTCTCTGTTACAAAACTTGTCCTTCTCTTTTAAATTTTTATCCGACTGCATATACGGATTGAAAAATAAGTCAGTAGAAGGTTCATCTCCGCCCATGTTGAAGTTTGTCATGTGCGGAGGTAGTGTGTAGATTTCGTTTGCAGGAATACTAGGTATGCCATCATCGTCGGAATCATCATTCACCATTTAATCAAACTCTAACTCGTCATCTTCTTCTTCTTCATCAACTGCATCTACCTCAGCTTGTTCATTCTCCAAAGGATCAACCACTTGTGTCACCTGAGGCTCTCGCAGCATAATGTACAACTCAATAGAGTCGTACCCAGAATACACATGGCTGGAAAACATATTCTGGAGATCCTCGTCATCTTGAACTTCAACCTTATAAAAAATTACTTGGTTGTTTCCAAAAAAAACTGGATTCTGATAAAATATCTGGGTCACCGGGCCTCGTCCAAGTTTGACCTCCAATCGTTTTTTGAAGTACGAGAAATTGGCTTTCCCGTTTAAGAGAAATCGAACGTTGTCTGTGTCTCTAAACAAAAACCCAGCGGTGGGACAAATGTATGTCTCACCGTTGAAATGTGCTTTGACGACAAATTGTGGTGCAGAGGCCATTGCGTAGGATTGTTTGAAGGTTTGAAGGTTTGAAGGTTGGAATGTTTGAATTTTATGAGTTATTTGAAGGTTGGAATGTTTGCAGTTTATTGATTGTATGAAGGTTTGAATGTTGTAAGGTTTGAAGGTTTGAATGTTTGAACTTTATGAGTTATTCGAAGGTTTGTATGTTTGATTGTTCGAAGGTTTGAAGGTTTGATTGTAAGAACGTTTGAAGGTTGGAAGATTTGACAGTTTAAGTGAATCAATGTTATGATAAACGTAATACTAAAAATTTCAATTAAGTAAGGATGTAACCCCCAAGGCTGCCAATAGTGTTACATGCATGACATCCCAAAGGCTCTCACGTAGCCTGAGCCTAGCCTGCAACCAAGGACACCTCTTATTCGCCAATTGGGATGGCGACACCTTTCATTTTTGTACTCTTTTGCCAAGTCCAATGGTGCCTCCCTTACTGTCCAATCGTGATACATGCATGCAGTTATGTAACCCCCTAGGCTGTCACCTAGCCTGCGCCTACTCTGCACCTATATTGTATCTTGTAAGTCTCCTCCCATCACCTCCAATAGGGTTACATGCATTCAGGCATGGCATCCCAAAGGCTGTCACGTAGCCTGAGCCTAGCCTGCAACCAAGGACACCTCTTATTCGCCAATTGGGATGGCGATACCTTTCATTTTTTGTAGTCTTTCGCCAAGTCCAATGGCGCCTCCCTTATTGTCCAATCGTGGTACATGCATACAGTTATGTAACCCCCTAGGCTGCCACCTAGCCTACGCCTACTCTGCACCTATACTGTATCTTGTAAGTCTCCTCCCATCACCTCTAATAGGGTTACATGCATTCAGGCATGGCATCCCAAAGGCTGTCACGTAGCCTGAGCCTAGCCTGCAACCAAGGACACCTCTTATTCGCCAATTGGGATGGAGACACCTTTCATTTTTGTACTCTTTTGCCAAGTCCAATGGCGCCTCCCTTACTGTCCAATCGTGATACATGCATGCAGTTATGTAACCCCCTAGGCTGCCACCTAGCATGCGCCTACTCTGCACCTATATTGTATCTTGTAAGTCTCCTCTCATCACCTCCAATAGGGTTACATGCATTCAGGCATGGCATCCCAAAGGCTGTCACGTAGCCTGAGTCTAGCCTGCAACCAAGGACACCTCTTATTCGCCAATTGGGATGGCGACACCTTTCATTTTTGTACTCTTTCGCCAAGTCCAATGGCGCCTCCCTTACTGTCCAATCGTGATACATCCTTAGGCTGCCACCTAGCCTGCAAGAGTGACACCTTTCATTTTTGTACATGCATGCAGATATGTAACCCCCTAGGCTGCCACCTTGCCTGCAAGAGTGACACTTCGCATGCATGCAAGCACCAGCAACCACTCTATGAAATTTTTTTGCCTATAAATACATACCATATCATACATCTCTCACACCCACACAAGTCTCACTCTCTGCTACGAAATCTTTCATAATCTCTTACACTTTCTAAGTCTTTCATACTCTCTTACACTTTCTAAGTCTTTCATAATCTCAAGCATTTTAAACAATGGCTCTTCTAACAATGGGCGATTCTCACAGAGGCACAAGGGAAAACATTGCCGCATTTGTAAGTT